TCTGCTCCACAATGCCTCGTGGGTCAGGCTATAAACCCAAAGGATCCAGGCGGAGTCCTTCAAGCAAACATCAAAATCACCTACTGCATTATGGGTAAGGCACTTGAGCCAAAGGCTCCAGGTGAAGTCCCCCAAGGAAACCTCTGAAGCACAACGACCACCTCGCGTGTGATTGCCCACCAATGCAATCATATGCCTGCGCGTAAAGCACTCAGCTTCGGATGCTGGAACGTGCGCACACTAATAGTACGGAACTCCAACGAGCGCCCGCAGCGACTCACTGCACCCTTCACGATGCAATTGACGCGCTACAACATCGATATTGCGGCGCTCAGTGAAACCCAATTCAGGAATCAGGTGCGGGCTACACATTCTACTGGGTGGGCAACGCCGCCTCAGCACCACGTGAACATGAGGTCGGATTTGCAATATCCGATTGCCTCCATGGCTAGCTGATGGGTGAACCAACGGACATGAGAGCGCGACTGATGACTGTTCGCCTACGACTCGGAAGAGGTAAGTTTGCTACTTTTATAAGCACGTACGGTCCGACCATGAGTTATCCTGATGACACGCGTGATCAGTTCTACACTGAGCTATCCTCCGTGATACCCTATGCCGAGCGGCGACCGACTCATTCTGCTAGGTGATTTCAGCGCGCGCGTTGGTCGTGATGCATCGGTGTGGACAGATGTTTTCGGTCCGCATGTCATTGGCTCAGCGAATGCGAACGGTGACAGGCTGCTCTCACTGTGTGCCACTCACGGCCTGACGATCACGAACACTCGGTTTGCATTGAGGGCGAATGATATGGCAACTTGGACACATCCACGGAGTGGTCACGCTCACCTGCTCGACTATGTCATCGTACGTCAGCGTGATATAAGTGAACTGCGCATGACACGTGTACTGCGTGGAGGTGAGTGTGACACTGACCACAAGTTGGTGCGGACCAAACTGCATATATATTTTTATAAATCAATGTATTGCACTCCCGCCGTGATTTGGCGTAAATTTAACATTTTCTCCCTCGGTACTGTGGCGAAACGTACTGAGCTGGAGAAGGCGATGGCTGCACGCCTGTGTGATGTGGACTACATAGCTACAGTAGCCGACCTGTGGCATCACATTCGTGACCAGGTGACAGCTGCTGCCGAGGAGACCATCGGGCGCGCAAACTGTAAGCGGCCTGATTGGTTTGATGACAACAATGCGACGATCGGCGCATTGGTGTCGGAGAAGCATGCAGCATTTGCTGCACATGTTGCAGACCCCAGTAACTTGGGGAAGAAGGGAAACTTTGGCTGAATTCGACGGCGACTGACCAGAGAGCTCCGTCGCATTGAAAATGCATGGTGGACGGAAAAGACGAGCAGCTGGAATGCTACGCCGAACGCCGCCAATAAAAGGAATTATTTGACTCTTTGGAGGCGGTGTATGGACCGGGATTGAAGCCTCTCAGGACTCTGCTCGATGGTAGCTCAGGCGGCACCTGCACACCGATTGCAGACATAATGCAGTTCTGGAGGAACATCTTTGACTGTTTCTTGAACCACCGTTCAGAGATCGACTGGCCTACAATGAACGGCCTGAAGCAGCAGGATGTGAGGGTGAGTCTGACGGACAAGCCGACACCGGATGAGACGCAGAGAACACTTGCTCAGCTGCGAAACGGCAGATGTGCCGTGGCCGACGGGGATCGCCCCTGAAGTATCGAAGCACGGCGGACCCGCGATGTTGACTGCGCTGCTACACTTAGTGCAAAGCGTGCGTATTTTGAAAGATGTGCCTCCTGAGCAGAAGCATATCCTTGTGCTACCACTGTACAAGAACAAAAGTCGCAAACAATGTTGCGCGAACTATCGTGGCATCAACTTGCTGAGTTCTGTGGGCAAGTTGATTTCCCGAACCTTGCTCAATCGCCTCATCAGTCAGGTTGTGAAACCGAACGTGGCGGAATAGCAGTGTGGATCCCGTTCGGCTCGCAGCACTATAGAAATGGTGTTTGCGGCTCGTCAGTTGCAGCAGAAGTGCAGAGAACGACACCAGCCATTGTACTCGCTTTTCGTTGATTTCACCAAGGCGTTTGATACGGTGAACCGCAAGGCATTGTGGCTGGTGTTGGGTAAGTTTGGTTGCCGGCGTAAGTTTTGTAAGTTTAATTGAATGTCTGCACAGTGGTATGCGGGCGAGGGTGTAGCTGAATGGAAAGACCTCGGATGACTTTGCAGTTATCACTTGTGTGAAGCAAGGCTGCGTCCTAGCACCTGCCCTGCTTAATATATATCTTCATGCAATGTTATCTTGTGCTTTAAATGCCCCTTGTGCTTATGGTGTTCGTGTGGAGCACCGTGTTGATGGTGGGTTGCTGAACATCCGTCGTTTCGGTGCGTGAACTCTAGTCTGTGAGACAACCATCCGTATGTTGCTGTTTGCTGACGACTGTGCTTTGTTTTCACACAGCGCGGAGGAGTTGCAGCACATGACTAGTGCTCTGGCTTCGCAGCAGCCAAATTCGTGCTCACCATCAACGCGAGCAAACTCTTTGTTTCTTTCAGTCTTCACCGAGGGTGCAATCTGCTTTGGTTCCGCGGATTAGCATTGGTGTTGAAGTATTAGAAATAACCTCCCGCTTCTGCTACCTTGGGAGTGTGATGTCGACTGAGCAGCCGCTACAGAGTAAGCTTCGTATCCGCGTATAGAAAGCAGTGACGGCACTCTGGAAGATAGAGTACGGAGAGTGTAACGACCATTGGTTTACCATTTGCGCGAAGCTGATGGTGTACAAATCCATGGTACTGTCCGCTCTTCAATTCGGCAGTGAAGCCTGGACGATGTACTGGCTATAGTTGCGCTTTCTCGAGCGGTTTCATCAACAGTTTCTGCATCGGATTCTGCGCATTGACTCGTGCGATAGCGTTGTGGACACGGAAGTGTTGTGTCGAAGTGAAATGTATGCAGCGGACTTCATACTTTTGCTGAGACAAAAGATGGCTCGGTCATATGTGGTGTGTGGAGTTGACGCAGATACCGAAGCAGCTATTATATCATCAACTGGGTTTGGGCAAGCGGCATGTGGGGGAACCGAAACTTCCTTACCAGGACATGATCAAATTGAGCCTCTCAAGTTCTAATCTCTATAGCAGGTCATGGGAATCGAAAGTGGTTGATCGGTATGTATGGCGCGATCTGATCACGAAAGCCGTTGATGAGATGCAAATGAAATCCTTTGTGCCTGCAGAGAATAAGCGGCGACCGCGGAAGTGACAGTCGCCGATAGGTTGTACTCAATTAACATCGACCGCATGGTGCTGTAGTACATGCGGCCGCGAATGGCTGTCAGGCAAGTCTAGTGAGCCGTGAGAGAAGCAACACGGGACCACAACCGAAACGACGACGAGTCCTGCTGACAGCGTAGGCAAAACCGGTGCAGCGTTAGCCGGTACACTGCATTTGATTTACTAACCGCGTGCTTGCATGCTAAGTCTCTTTAGTTCAGGTGGTTGTCTTACTAACTTGTCCTAATAGTTTTTTATCTTATAATAATGTCTCCCTGGACTATCTTATATAAACTTGCACACCTCACATAAACAACTTTAATAATCTTTGGTTACATTATCGCGTATGCTGCATTATCTAAAAATATATTTTTTTGCCGTCTTGAACTTGTCGCGAATTTGTTCGTAACCAATCTATTTTATATGCTAAGTTAGCGAAGATTTATGTCACCCTATCTGTATGCAGTATCCGATTTGTTTGTTTTCCTCTTGTCGTTTCAAGTGATTGGCTGTTGCTTGATATCCTCGGTGTGGCTGCGCTTGATGTGCATGTTGACAATGTGATTACCAGTTTATTACCCACTACCTGGTCCATAGTGGCTCCAAGAGACTATTGGTAGTTGCTGGAGGGTACGGGGTTCACCGTCCTCATGGACCGGATAGGCACAAAGCGTGGTCCCATGCACTCAGTGTGGAGCGGACTACGGACCGGAATACGAACTCGCTATTCGGTTAAAATTCAGCTAACCGTGTCCTTTCACACTTTTAATGCTCGCCGACAGTTGTCTTCAGAAAGCTTTCAGTGACATGCTGCTATCGCTCTGGAACTGGCCACAAAAGCTTTTCCGTATGAATTCAAAGCCGAACTGTGGAGCAAATTCCTTACTATTTTCGCGTTGGCGTGAAAAGGTACGAGTGGCTCTTCAAGTTTTACCGTAAAGCGCCGCTGGGGGAAGCGATTCGTGTTGCAACCAGCTACAAAGGCGTAGAGCAACTGCACTCGAACCCGCAAACACAAATAATGCTACTTCAGCGCATCTGAAAACTGGAGGCATTCTAACCTCGAAAAAGCCTCTTTTTAGTTACATTCGGTGAGACCTCCAATTTATATCTAAATATGCAATAGACGGCTGGTTTGTTCTTTCGACACACGGTAGCTTGTACACTCAATACGTCAAGGGAGGGAAACGAACCCATGAACACACATTCTCAGCGAAACAGCTGTTCATCGCTTTTTCAGATGTAGGGTGCCTAGCTTGTCGGGTGCAGAATTGTCAAAACACCTAGTAATTTTACAAAATCCTCTATTCGCTGCACTCTATAGACCGTTCCAACAGCCTATCAACCATGGGCTTGCGATGATGTGGAATGAGAAAGGCTGGAACCAGCTAGCATTCCCCGAATTACTAAACTACAGAGAAGCATCTTAGCGGCGACATTTGTCCATCCAGATTGGCCCGCGGCAGTTTAACTTGAAGTTGCTAGGAAACCCAAGCTCCTTCCTTCTATCATCTAAACCGTGATTACAAAGCGATGAACCAATTCATGTCTCAGATATGGTATTAACCGATAAGATACCTAACGCGAGACTAAATATTTATCGAACCATGCAATGCGCATTTCTACGCACGATACACTCACCCATAGCGAAATCCTCAAATGCAGACAACACAAGTGCAAGTACTTGGAAGTAGTGATTTATGATAAAAGCATGGTGATAAACTACCAACAAAAAGTGCACAATTCAATGACACTCGCTGCGACAACAATTGCATCCACAAGGGCATTGCTTGCATTCACACGATTTCGGCTTGCAGGTGCATTTTCCCTCCTTCTTACAGCCATCGCAACAGATGCAACCGGGACCACCACAAGCTAAACCAAGAGACGGGTACATATGATTTGAAGTTAGAACCACACAGTTGAAACGTTAACAAACAGAACATGTACTCGACTCACCAGGCATGTGAAAGCAGCTAGCACTCGATTGTGTGGCTGAGTGTCTCCACTGGTCTCGTTATATCTGCTCAGAGCAAGTCAATGTGAAATGATTGTGAATTCACATATTTGTGACAGCACAGGTGACCTGATCGCTACAAACGGTCAACATGCGGTCGGCATGTTGATGTCGTACTGTGTTCGACTGTCTACAACTAGCAGATGAAACGTGCTTCGATTTTGGTCGCACTCGTGGTCAACTGAGATTGTCGTATTACTGTAAAAGTTGGAGTGGAATGCAGAGGGTGGAATGGCAGGGCGCTACTGTGTCTTGGAAAATGCGTTTATTTGCTCAGTCCATCTCGTTGACATTATCCTCGGCGTTGGATCACAGGCCCGTGTTAAATACAGGGAGAAATCGACATCCATCTCATCGGACTGCATTTCGTATGAGGTTTCCATGCGAACTCGGTTTGCAAGTCGGGGGGGGCAAAAATATTAGTAGGAATGAAGGATACACTGTTATTCCACCTAATATGCGCGTAGATAAGTGTTATCTTTGTAACATGTATGTAGCTCACTGCGTATTAGGAGTGGAATCAATGCTTTCTGCGCACTTAGTTTTCACTAGTCAATGTTCGTGCATTAAAATATATAAATTACAACAGGTAAGTTATTTTCAAGGTAGTACTCTGTAATCCTTTCTGATATCGTGCTGTAGGTATTCCAATAGGATTCTTATTGTTTTTATTGAAATGCTCAGCTCTCACGGATCCAAAGTTAAAGCTTTTAAAGTGTGAACCGTGTAACTGCGTGTCGTCCCACGATGGCGGAGGTTGCAGGATAACCCGCTCGTGGTCTTATCCTTAGGATTGCAAATGATACTCACGCTGGTTTTATCCGACCAGATGGTCATTAGTTTATGCAATGGGACTCACTAATCCTTTCCTCAGTTCGGAATCCCTTGTGTTAGTGACAATTGGGTTAGTCATGTGCGTAGTACGTAGACTACGGGGAAAATGCAACAAAACAAAGCGGAAGCTGAACTATTTGAAAGAATAGGAAATAATATTGTAAAAAATCTACGCTGGACGACTTCGCAATACAAGTCAAAATGGGCGCAAGGTTAATTTGCAATTGGCCACGATTTTACGAAGCGACTGCCGATAGGCCTCTAGCCACTGATTTGACACCCAGAACCAGACGCAGCGCAAACGTAATCTGACCAATTCAAATAGGTTCGACTGTGTTCAGATATATGCAATAACTATGACAGCGATGGTGACATGGTGGCCCATCAGGTGGGAAGCGAAACAAGGTCAGATACAACAAGAGTGCACCGAATGTGAGATCGACTATGTGTTAGAGGGTTATACAGGATACCAAGTTATGGGTTCAGATATGCGACATTACTGTAGTGTACTGGTGTGAACAAATCTTACATGGAAGCGCACTGACTTAAGTACACAAGGTGGCGCGTGATACCGCCGGTAACATGATGAAGTCTCTAGACAGGACTTTACCAAAACGGACCAGGAATGATTTGTTAGCGAGATGCCTATTACGCGCTACTCTACAATCCGTTCCGGAGTTTTCAACATGTGATGACGAGTTCTTTCCTAGTGCAGCGATAACGACACAGCGACGAAACACAATGTTATTGATGTCAGCAAAGGCTATATCACTACTCACACAGGCGTATATTAATGAGTCACGTTCCCTTCCTTCGACATACCATCTCTCCTGGCTTCCGCTCGAGACGATTCAATACACTTCGGGGACTCCTGATGAAGTATTTCCTTCCCATTTCACCCCCGTATCTCCGCTTCGACGCATCCCATTCTGACCGGCCCAGAGCCGTTCGCTAGCACTTGCTTTGCTTGAACGTGTATGTATCACACTTCCTGGGGTTGGTCCGGGAGGCTGTAATAACGGTGCTCTGTCTTTTTTATTACGCTCTCGACGAACACCCTCCCCTTCCTGCTTGACTTAGGCTCACTACCGGACGCCGCTCGTGCTCCGTTTTCGTCTCGTTTCGTCGGACCAGTGTTGCTCCGCCTACTTCCTCTCATTGCGCTTATTCCCCATTCTGTCTGATCCCGTTTTAATGGTCTTTCTGCCCTTTGGGGGAGCACTGCCTTCCACCTCCGTACACCCGGCCCTCCTCGAAGTTGCTTATCTCTCGCGCGCCACTGCCGCAGCAGAGCGGCATTCAGCCAGCTTTGCGGCGCCCAGCTGCATATTCTGAAGCCCTCAGCCTTCCGGTTAAGTAGTGCGTAGGGGCCTTTCCAGTGATCCCTGAACTTCCGTGCTCCTGGCTCTCCTTGTTCCAAGCTTTGTGATTGAGTATCTTGACTTGTTCTCTTACGTTATATGGCCTCCATTTCTGGGCTGCATATCTGGCATGGTAGTTGCGCCCATTCCGCGCGTGTCTAAACCTGGTTTCTCTTCTGGCGATCACTCTCAAACGTTCGCGATGTGTTGCTAGGGTGTCACACGCCTAAGCGTGAGCTACGCATGCGTTAAGTGAAATGACTGCTTGTCTGCCAAACTGTAATTCGAATGGCGCATATCTGGTGGTGGATTGCTTGCTAGCACTATGCGCGGGAAGAACCTCAGATAATGCTTCCTCACATGTCGACTTTGTACAGTTTATCCGCGTCTTCATCTTCCAAGTAAAGCGTTCAGTCAGCACGTTTGTCTGCGAATGGTACGGTGACGTGCGTCGTCTCTGGATGTTCCACTTTTCAAAACGGGTCCTTAGTTGGTAATAACACACCGTACTATTCCACACCTAGCGGGGACATTGAATACAAATGCCTATGCCACTATTTCACCTGTTTTATCCCTGATCTGTACGTCTTCTACCTATCCAGCGAAATGGTCACGCACCAGTAGGATGTACCCGTTTCTTGACCGATTGACCGGAAACGGCCCAATAATGTCCAGTCCCCGAAATTGATACCGTTGATGAACTTCGATAGACCGTATCGGAGGCCTTGGTGCATCGAAATGGCGGTTCGTTGGACAAGATAGACATCCACGAATGTATGCCGCGATGTCCTTTCTCATCGTTGGCCAAAACACCCTCATCTGCAGCTGGTGGAGTATTCTCTTAAATACCATACGTCCGCCATCATAGGTCACTCGCATCGCTCGCTGCTCTATGCTCTTGGGGACGAAAGGTACTTTCGTCCTGTGTCGTATCTCTAAAGGAGTGCCGTTTGCGGAAGCAAGTTTGTCCCAGATCTTAAGGAGTTCCTCCCCCTCTCCCGATGTTGCCGCTGCCTTGGTCCTGGACAGTATTTGAGCGCAGATCAACCACATCAAATTATCCGCACATTGGCTTCCCAGTAGGTTTGATCCTCAGTGGTGAGGCCACACACCGCTTTGGCATTATCTGGCAGGAGCTGCTCCATAAATCGGCGCAATAACATGTCGGGTATTACGTACTTCGTTCCATCTATGCGCCCGATTGCAAAAGTGGATTATCGGAGCCGGTACCCCTAGCGTACAAGCTGTCCCCACGGATCTCTCGTCGTCATTAACCATGATAACAACTTATGGTTAGTAACGACATGAAATTCAGTCTCTAGCTGATTTGTTCTCCATTTCGCCAACTCCCATACAATAGCAAAGCGTTCTTTATCCCTCGTGGAGTACTTTTGCTCTGCGCTGGTCAGCAATCTACTGGCGTATTTGGTCACCCCGGCTGCTTGGGACAGCACAGCCCTGATTTTAATGTTACGTGCATCGACCGCCACCGTGAAATTTTACCAGGCTTAGGTAGCCATACACATGCTAGATCCTCTGCAACGCATTCCTTTAGGTCGTTTAAGGCCCAATCCGCTTTAGGTCTCCAAGCAAACGATTCGTATATGTGCAGCATATTTACTAGTGGATTGATCTCCGCAAATTGGGGGGGGGGAATTGCTATACGTACGCTAACATTTAAGAGAACGACCGAAGCGGATGTTTGGCTTTCGGGGCTGCAAAATTCTTGCTTGCTTCGCATTTCTCTGGAAGCGTCTGAATTTAACCATTCCTTAAAATGTGGCCCAAACACACAATGGGCTTCTGAACAGTCAGTGACATTTTTCGACTAAGCTTTAGACCTGCATCCTCCAGTCATTGAAGATCGGCTGCGAGTCGGGTATATATATATATATATATATATATATATATATATATATATATATATATATATATATATATATATATATATATAAACTGGTTACAGATAAACGTGCCATCAAAACCATAACAAAATAAAAGGGGAGACGCATTACAACCTGTAGAAAAGGACTCTTTTTTCGGTTTTTCACACCCGCCTTGGGAATTTTTGTGCTTTGGGGTTTTATGTTCCACGATAGGTTAATTAATAGGTGACACGGTTGAACAGCACTGTCGCCACTGATGCCGGTTAAGCGCCATAGCCTCCAACGTTTCTAACGACTAGCAGTCTGAATCATGTGGTCCACATCCTGGAAGGAAGACCCTTCCGACGCATGCAAACTTTCGGGTTGCATTTCTCATGCACCTTCTTCACCTCATTGGCTGTCCACCGCGGCACTTTTCCACTCACTTCCGGGGAGCGCAAAGAACGTTCGACGGGGAAGGCGATAGGCAAGCACGCGTAATAAATGGCCGATCTAACACATGCAGTGTTGGAGAATAACGTTTTTAATGACTGACACTACACACTCCAAGTACTCGGTCCCGGACCTGTGCATTGTTTACGCGGCGTTGCCACCAAAGCAGAGCAAGCCATCGAAGACAGCGATTGTTAAAGAGTGACAACCGCTTCATGTCTTCCGCTCGAATAGGTCAGGTATCACAACCGTACAAGAGTACTACACTGACGAAAGCATTGTACACCCTGCACGTGAGCTTGAGACTATCATCATCACGCCTTTGCAAGCTGTTGTATGACTTCATCTCCAACACCGCCAACCGTCGTGATGCAACTCCCTATATAAGTAAAGCAAGGGACTTGCTCCAGAACATGTTCAGCAAAGGCGAGCGCGGGTTCAGGTACCTGCCAATCCAGGAACAGCGTTTTACATTTTCTCGGAGTAAAGTATAAGCCGTACTTAGTCACCACCATCGTCAAGCGGTCCAAAGCGCTTTGGACGGTTTGTGGGTCGTCCCCCAGCAAGGCGATATCATCGG